GCCCTCCTTCCTGAGCAAAGAGAAAAATGGACCTTCTTAATGGCACCTGAATTTTGGCCACTATGTGACACAGAGTGTTGGACTGCATGAGTCATTGGACTGTTCCAACATGGCTTCTCTTGTGTTCTTATGTCTGGGGCAGTGATGCTCTGTATTCTTGGCGCTTGGGGGGGCTTCCGGAGTTCTGGTGGATCTCCTGATGGCACCTGGTTTTTGGCCACTGTGTGTGTGTGTGTCACTGGATGTGTTGGACTGGATGGGCCATTGGTCTGATTCAACATGGTTTCTCTTATGTCCTTATGTTCACATGCATTCTGATCTCTTTCACTGGAGGTGTAAGGGAGTGAACCCGGGACCTTCTGCATACAAAGGCGAGGTACCACTGCTGGGCCACATCCACTGCCTCAAGGAAGCCCAACAGAAACCCTTTCAAATAGGGCTTTGTTTTCCACAGAGTCCGTCCCAAGAACCGCGGCCTTTGGGACAGCTACCCGCCTGCCTCCCCCCATGCTTACCTTGGGCAGATTTCTCAGGTCTCTTGGTCGCTTCCTGCAACAGGGAGAAAAGAGAGAGAGTCAGTAATGCTGTGTGGACTCCATGGAGGGAACTTTGGTCTCCCCGGGGCCTTTCCTCTCTGTTTTTACAGGCCCATCCATTCCCCATTGGATCCGGCTACATGGTTTAAAAAGGTAAAGGTTCCCTTGCTCGAAAGCCAGTCGAATCTGGCTCTAGGGTTGCGGTGCTCATCTCTGTTTCAAAGCCAAAGAGCCAGCACTGTCCGAAGACATTTCCGTGGTCATGTGGCCGGCATGACTAAACACCAAGGCGCATGGAACGCTGTTACCTTCCCACCGAAGTGGTACCTATTTATCTACTTGCAATTTCTTGCTTTCGAACTGCTAGGTTGGCAGGAGCTGGAACTAGAGACGGGAGCTCACTCCGTCATGCAGCACCCCTGGGTCTCGAACTGCTGAACTACTGACCTATGCTTGTACCCGCCACCACTTCCTGCAGCAGTAAATTCCACCTATTAACTACTCACTGGGTGAAGGAACACTTCCTTTGATCTGTTCTAGAAGTCTGATGGCACTTCATTTATTTAACTAAAACATTTTATGAGCTGCCTTTCTCCCTTCCAGCACTCCAGGCAGCTTATAAAGCTATGGTTATAAAACGCATCAAAGCTGAACATTTAAAATCCCAGTTGGAACTGCTGATAAATAAAAAATCAGTCAAAAGCTTACCTGAAGACGTGAGCCATGACTCACAACAGCTCCTAACTCTGCCACACAGTTCGTTAGTCTCTAAGGTGCTACTGGAGTCTTGCTCTTCTGTACAGTCAAAAGCTGCCCCAGATAAAACGATGTTCAGCTGCCTCCTGAAGATGAACAGTGACGGGGGCCGGGCGCACCTCTCCACAGAGGTGGTTCCAGAATCACGGGGCTGCCACTGAAAAGGCCCCCTCCCATGTACCCAAGAGACAAGTTTTTGGATCGTTGGGAAAGTCTCAGGGTAGCAGGAACTCCTTTGCATATTAGGCGACACACCCCTAATGTAGCCAACCCTCCAAGAGCTTACAGTAGCCCCTCTAAGAAGAGCTCTGTAAGCTCTCAGAGGATTGGCTACATTAGGGGGGTGTCGCCTAATATGCAAAGGAGTCCCTGCTACAAAAAGAGCCCAACAATGTCACAATTTTATCCGAGACCAAAGGAGTTCCTGTCACAAAAAGAGACCAACAATATCACAATTTTATCCGAGACATCGAGAATTCACATGTTCCCCTCCCCACCCACCCCTATGTGGATGGATACACCGAGGAGTAGCTACTCACCAGGTTGTGCTTTACGGGCTGCCTGGTAACCACTTCGCCTTTTCCCTGAAGGACAAAAGGAGAGAGTCAGAGCTGGGTGGGGCCCCCAGAGACCATCCATACTGAGGTAAGGTTATTGGATCTGAAACACTCCCTGGGGGATGCTCCTCTGGTCTCTTTCTCCAGGGAAGGAGGGAATAGGAGTCTCCCAGCCGACAGTCGCTAGCAGCAGAGCTAAGAAGGTTTTCCTGGTAAGTTTCTAGCTCCAGACTGACCTCTTGGGCTCTGATCTTTAACATAGGAAGAGCCCTGCTGGGTCAGACCAGTAGTCGATCTACTCCAGCCTCCTGTCTCACACAGTGGCCAACCAGTTCCTCTGATCAGCCAACAGGAGGGCCTAGAGGCCAAGGCCTTCATAAGAACATAAGAAGAGCCCTGCTGGATCAGGCCAATAGTCCATCTAGTCTAGCATCCTGTCTCACACAATGGCCAACCAGCTCCTCTGGACGGCCAACAATAGGGCAAAGAGGCCGAGGCCTTCATAAGAACATCAGAAGAGCCCTGCTGGATCAGACCAACAGTCCATCTAGTCCAGCATCCTGTCTCATACAGGGGCCAACCAATTCCTTTGGATGACCAACAACAGGGCACAGAGGCCGAGGCCTTCCCCTGGTGTTGCCTCCTGGCACTGGGGATTCAGAAGTTGACTGCCTCTGAATGTGGAAGTTCCCTATAACAACAGAAAAAAAGCCCTGCTGGATCATACCAGGGATCCATCTAGTCCAGCATCCTGTCTCACACAGCGGCCAACCAGTTCCTCTGGAGGGCCAGCAGCAGAGCAGAGAGGCTGCGGCCTTCATAAGAACATCAGAAGAGCCCTGCTGGATCAGACCAGGGGTCCAGCTAGTCCAGTATCCTGTCTCACACAGTGGCCAACCAATTCCTTTGGATGACCAACAACAGGGCACAGAGGCTGAGATCTATTCCAATGTTGCCTCCGGGCACTGCGGATTCACTCTGAACATGGAGGTTCCCTATGAGAACATCAGAAGAGCCCTGCTGGATCAGACCAGGAAGGGTTCATCTAGTCCAGCATCCTGGTTCACATATTGAAATTGAAATTGCTCAATGAAATTGCTGAGCAGTCGGGTTAGAACAGATAAACGGAAGTACTTCTTCACCCAAAGAGTGATTAACACATGGGATTCACTGCCACAGGAGGTGGCGGCGACTACAAGCATGGACAGCTTCAAGAGGGAATAAGATAAGCATATGGAGCAAAGGTCCATCAGTGGCTATTAGCCACAAGGTATAGATAGGAACTCACAGGCTGGGGCAAGTGATGCACTATATTCTTGGTTCGTGAGGGGGGCAAGAGTGGGAGGGCTTCTAGTGTCCTGGCCCCACTGCTGGACCTCCTGATGGCCCCTGGTATTTTTGGCCACTGTGTGACAGTGTGTTGGACTGGATGGGCCTTTGGCCTGATCCAACATTGGCGTCTCTTATGTTCTTATTGGCCAACCAGTTCCTCTGGACGGCCAACAACAGGGCATAGAGCCTGAGGCCTTCCACTGATGTTGCCTCCGGGCTACTTTCCCTGGGAGGAAACCTCCCCACCACTCCTGGAGTGATGCAGCAAATATCCCTCCGCACATCAGACAGCTGGAGACAGAATCAGATCCCCAGGCAGAAGGCCCAGCACTGTTGGACTTTGGGGGCTTGTGATGAAGTTGCCAACTGACTAAGGAAAATTGGTCCAGCCCCTGTTCTTGTGCCTTGAACAGCTGTAAGATCCACAGACGTGAACTGCGATGTTTTTCACACTGTGGAGGCAAGCATGAAACTGTGCTAATGCCTGCAAGATTAATCCACTTGCTGTTAAAAAGGCACAGCTGCGGAAGGCGGCAGAAGAGTTGCCAACCCCAAATCATGCTGAGAGCTGCCAAGAGGAGGGAGCCAGAAAAACAGTGTTCCCTCTAAGCTGAGTGAGTGTGAGCTAGCGCACGGTTTTTTAGCCTCCGGCTCACACATTTTTGTGTTAGTCTTTAAGGTGTCGTCCCCCCTTTGTCAACAAGTTGGTGACATCAGCACACTAATTTAGGCAGCAGCCAAATGGCTCGCTCACAACTTTAATGCCAGTGGCTCACAAAGCAGAATTTTTGCTCACTCCAGAGCACACTAATTTAGGCAGCAGCCAAATCGCTCACTCACAACTTTAATGCCAGTGGCTCACAAAGAGGAATTTTTGCTCACAAGACTCCACAGCTTAGAGGGAGCCTTGCTGAGGACCACAATCAGAGTGACGCCCAAACAGGTCGGCTGATGTGAGAGAGGACCTCTCTGTCCCTCACAGACAGACAACCGTATTCTTGGAGTGTCAGACCAAGGCTGAGGAGATCAAACCATGCCTCAGCTATGAAGTCTATTGGGCGATCTTGGGACAGACATTCCCGTCAATCTCACCTACCTCACAGGGTTGTTGTGAGGATATTATGGAGGGGGGGCAGGGCAGAGAAAGCCCAGCCTGGTGGAACATGCTCCCTATTGAGACCAGGGCCCTGCGGGATCTCCTTCAATTCCACAGGGCCTGCAAGACGGAGCTCTTCCGTCAGGCCTTTGGCCGAGGCAGCGGGTGCCAATCTATGGCTTCCCTGAGGTTGCTGTCACCCGTCTATTACTGACCACCAACAACTGGCCTTTAACTCACTGCACCGTCGGGCCGGAACCTTATAGCCAACTGACGCTGTTTCAAGCTGTAGCCACTGTTTTAATTGTTATAATGTTTTATCATGTAGGATATAAGCAGTCCATTGTGAACACCTGTTAAGGCAAACTGATTTGTTTGTATGCCCGGGATAAGATTCTCCAGTAAAATGGATGAGGGTGAACTGTAAACTTTAAACAGTTTTGGTGTAAGCTTTTTGTAATAATGCTTTGTGTATGTACTTTATAAAATGCTTTTTGTATAAATGTAGGTTGTAGGTGGCTCAAGTGGTGAAGACGCTGAACTGCAGGCTGTGGAAGGTCGGTAGTTCAGCAGTTCGAGACCCGGGTGCCGCATGATGGAGTGAGCTCCCGTCTCTAGTTCCAGCTCCTGCCAACCTAGCAGTTCGAAAGCAAGAAATTGCAAGTAGATAAATAGGTACCACTTCGGTGGGAAGGTAACAGCGTTACGTGCACCTTGGTGTTTAGTCATGCCGGCCACATGACCACGGAAACGTCTCCGGACAGCGCTGGCTCTTTGGCTTTGAAACAGAGATGAGCACCGCAACCCTAGAGTCGGATTTGACTGGCTTTCGAGCAAGGGAACCTTTACCTTTACTTTTTTAGGTTGCACCAATGGAGTAACTATATGTATGTCTTTGTAGATACATTGTAGTATTTGAAATCATGGCATGGAATATCATGTGAAGACACTATGAATAGTAGATTTTCAAGAGAGACTACTCCGGTACATTGCCTTATAATAATTTTCATTGAATAGAAATAGCTGTATAAAAGTAGCTTCAACACATGTATAATTGCATTGCATTGCAAAACCTCTTGTCATTTTGTAAGGTGCTTCAGTATGTTCGGATGAAGTTGTGAACAAAACGAAAATCAACTCCGGGGAGTTTCGTCAACCCACTTTTTCCCTGTACTTTTGAACCAACTTTTTTCTGTATTTTGGGTGTGCATATGAAAAACAGAATATGTAACAGTGTGGATGTGTTATTAGCTATTATAAAATAACATTGTTGAATACAGTGGAGAAATCGTATTTCATTTCATCCTAAGCGCAGAGTGTCAGCCTGTTTTCCGGTTTACTAGTTGGCTTGGAAGAAGAGCAAGACCCAAATGGGATGGAACGAACTAGATTTTAAAGGTTATCATTAGGAAATAATTCCACCTCCAGAGGTGGAGAACAGGGCTGTGAAGACCACAGACTGGATGGCCATCTGTCAGCAATGCTGATGGTGTGAACTCACTTAGGCAGATCGTGAGAAGGGAGGGCAGGAAGGGTTGCCTCAGGGCTTAGTTCTCGAGGCCCTTTCTTACACACCCCGGGAAATGCTGATCACCACTTTGGGGTCAGGAAGCACTTTTTTTTCCAGGCCAGTTTGGCCGGGGATCCTGGAGGGTTTTTTGGTCATCTTCTGGGCGTGGAACAGGGGTCACTGAGGGTGGGGAGGTATTTGTGAATTTCCTGCATTGTGCAGGGGGTTGGATTAGATGGCCCTGGCGGTCCGGTCCAACGCTATGATTCTGTCAGGGCTATTTTTGGGCAGGAACGCACAGGAACGGAGTTCCGGCTGGCTCCCAAGTTGGCCACGCCCAGCAGGAACTCATTAACATAACAGGCCACACCCAACAGCAGAAACTCATTGGGATTGGCTAGATTGGGGTCTTAGAGGGAGCATTGGACTTGTGGGGGTGTCTGAATTTCTTCGGGGGGGTGTCGTCCCCCTTTGCCAACAAGTTGGTGACATCAGCAGAGTCTCCATGAAAGCCCCCAAAGGAAAGAGACATACACCCTGTTAAGTATTGGGTTATCTGCGTAGCTATGTCAGCGTGAGCTTCAGTCACAAGCTCCGCAGACTATCAGCATCCGAAACTAAGGAACCAGGTTGGTCGCTGTTGCCAGGGCTGTTTTTGGGCAGGAACGCACAGGAACGGAGTTCCGGCTGGCTTCAGAGTTGGCCACGCCCACTACAGCCAAAACCTCTGCGTGCCTGGGGGTGTCTGAATTTCTTCGGGGGGGAGGGTCGTCCCCCTTTGCCAACAAGTCGGTGACATCAGCAGAGTCTCCATGAAACCCTCCCAAAGGAAAGAGACATACGCCCTGTTATGTATTGGGTTATCTGCATAGCTATGTAAGCTTGGGCTTCAGTCACAAGCTCCGCAGACTATCAGCATTCGAAACTAAGCAACCAGGTTGGTCGCTGTTGCTAAACAGACCAATCGGGAAAGACTCTGACTTTTGGCGGGAACAATTCCCATTGGGCCCAAGCTTTCATCATTGATTGGACGTTATCGTTCCAGGGGGTGTGGCTTCCCTGGTTCAAACTGTATATAGTGGGGGTCATTCTGTGTGTTCTGAGCTAATAGAGAAATCACTTGATCGAAACGCTGCCTTGATCTCAAGTACATAATACACCCCAAAAAGCATTTACTTACGGATGCAGAAAACTCTCTCAGTACGTAATTCACCCGAAAAAGCATTTACTTACGGATGCAGAAAACGATCCCAGGCACAAGCAAGAGGGAAGCCACGACCCCCACGAGGACCCCAGCAATGAGCTCCGTCTCGCGTGAGGCTGAAATAGAGAAAAGACCAACGTGACTGCGAGAGGCCCCCGAAGAATTGCCCCATGTTTTGTGGAGCCCGGACTGGGTCTGAAACGGTGGGTCAGGCACTGATTTGGTGGCGGAAAGCGCTGTCAAGTCGCAGTGAACTTGTGGCCACCCCACAGGGTTTCCAAGGCCAGAGACAGACATTGCCTGCCTCTGTCTAGCAGCCCTGGGCTTCCTTGGTGGTCTCCCATCCAAGTACTAACCAGGGCTGATCCTGCTTAGCTTGCGAGATCTGATGAGATGGGGCTAACCGGGCACTTCCAGAACAGGCTTTTAGTGCCCTTAAAAGAGGGCAGCAAGCTTGTGTATTGAGAATGTGGGTTTTGGCTCCCCTTCTGCCTGAGATGGGCCCTCACGCTCCCAAGATCATGCTAAGAACATAAGAGAAGCCCTGTTAGATC